AGCAACGTTACAAGATCAGTCTGGAATCATCTTTCACCATGAGAAGGTTCCAGTGACTGCAGATCATGCCACAGTCGGCAACCAGAGCAAAGTGGGGAGGCATGAGAAGACGATGTTTAGAACTCCGTTCTCTGTTCCTTGATTCCCCATAACAGGGAAAGAAAAGCTCCTGCCTCATTCACCCAGGGTGAGTGCAGCTCTGCATCTAAATAATCCAAGACCTCCCAGGGGACCACGCTCAAAATGCAGAACAGGTCCCAAGTCCTCAGGTGTTCCCTACACTCTGATCTGAATTGCTACATTGTATTTGTCTCTAACTAAATACAGTGACTTTGCCTTTAACATCTTCAGTAGTTTGGCTGGTATAAGTCCCTGGAAACAAGGCTGAGGGTGTGTCCCCGTGGCAGAGTGCTTGCCTAGCATGTGTGAGGCACTGGGTTCGGCCCTTAGCACCACACAAAAACAAACAAAACCATTCTGCCCGTCTACAACTACAAAAAAAATTAATAAACAAAATAAGCATTTTAAAAAGTCCCTAGAAACCTCAACTTCATCCTTAATATACATATCACTGTACACAGGCACCCTTTAAGGGTGCCCAGAAGCTAAAGAGACAAATGGAAGAACCAGATGAAAAGTAATAACGAGTTCTCCACTTGCAAAGCAGATGCTCAGAAGATGTTCAGTTTTGTAGATAATCAACTCCCCGACCCAGGGACAACCAATCAATCAGAAATTATGAGTCAACGCAGGAACTACCAAGACCCTGAGGAGAGGATTCGATGACTCTAAGTGGCACATGAAGAACTGTTTGGGTAACTTGATGTGCGCTTTATCGTTTTTAGCTTATCTTGGGCTAATCGCCACTCATTCCACCCTCACCTCACTGGTCCCCATCCTGTGTCCCAGGAAGGGCCCCAGCAGACAGAAAGAGAAGGGCCAAGGTTCACTGCTTCCCGTCAGGATGTAGGGGAGGGGTCCACGGGGCCATGCCATGGACTTCTTCCCTTTTCCCCAGCAGCTGGAGATGTGGGTAACTCAACATCCTTTTCCTGGCCTGCTGGGAGTGGGGCCCAGGGCCTCGTGCCTGCCAGGCAAGCGCGGGCTCAGACGCACCCCAGCCCCTGGTCTTTGGTTCCCTGCCTAACCCAGTCTAAGCACTTCATGGAAGTCTCTCATTTCAACCCGTTAAATTCTGTTCCTTGCCAACACCCTGACCTAGGGCACTCTCTCTGTATGAAACTTCTCAGTCCCAAAATGTGGATCTTACTGCCCTCTCCTACTTTACACACAGGGCACGGAGGCTCCCAGAGGGTAGGGAACCAGCCAGAGGTCACAAAGGTGGTTGGCTGGCAAAGCAGGAATTCATCCAGACGGGTCTGACATCAAAGTCCTTAGAAAGCTTCAAAAGAGTGAAAGAAAACGCACCAACCTCCCAAACTCTCAGGCCACAGTTTAGCCTCAGACCACATTATTTACAGTCTGGGTTTTCCCTGGGTCTAAGACGAGCTGCCTGGGGCACGGCCCTATGGGTGCTTCTTTCACCAACAGTCACTCAGACTGAACCCAGCAGCCCACGCCTGTAATCCCAGAGGCTTGGGAGGCTGAGGCAGGAGGATGGAAAGTTCAAAGACAGCCTCAGCAACTTGGTGAGTCTCTAAAGAACTTAGCAAGACCCCATCTCTAAATAAAATATAAAGAGGTCCGGGATGTAGCTCGGTGGTAAGCACCCCTGAGTTCAATCCTCGGCACCAAAAAAAAAAAGTCATTCAGGGTTGACCTTGTTGGAAAGTGACCAGGACAACCTGAGACCTAACAGATGCCAAGTGTGTCATTTCCTGGGCACACATTTTCCCCTGGGCTCATTCCAGAAATCCCCTAATTCCTCTCAATCTTAAATATCTTTATGGTTCCTTCATTCTTTTTCATAAATTAAAATCAGAGATCCAGGAGATGGGGAGGCGGGTGAATGCAGTTATAAGCGTTAATAACTCTACACTAGCACCTCGCAGCCATGACCTGTGGGGCCTTTCGTCTATATCTCTGTACGAAAAGCTCCCTGGATTCTCTTCTCTAGCAGTGCAGGATGCATTTTTTTTAAATGCAATTAAAATAAATTCCAATAGGAAGTGGAGAGATAAGTACGAAATAAATCCCCCTGAAGGAAATACAAGATAGAGCTATATTCCATTTCAGAAACAAAGTATTTGCTGTTGTGTCTGCCTCTGCCTGTGTCCCGGGCCTCTCCGGCCTCACGGGCTGAAGAGGGACAGAAGAAGGCATCCAAGCCCTCGCCAGACACTCTCCCAAGTTCCTGATTCTCTGGAATTTGCAATAGTCAGATCCTCAGAGTGGGCCAGGGAGAGGGTGGCTCAGTAAACAGTAGCTGAAGAGGGCAAAAGGCCAGGGCCGCTTCCTCATTGCTGGAGGAATGAGAGTGGAAAGGGAAGCAGGTAGGCGCTGGTCAGAAAATGAAAAAGAGCACCAGTGTGTGTGTGTGTGGGGGGGGGACCCGGCAAAAACAGCGCAAAACACAGAGGCAGGCGCTTCTCCAGCACGCCCTGCACGGGTAAACTCAGCACAGAGCTGGTCCAGCCCCAGGCCCCCAAGGAACAGGAGAAGGACGGTAGCCTGAAAGGCTGTAATGGCAGCAGACAATTCCTGGACAGTCCCAGAGCTACCGGGGCCCCTCTGCTCCCACTCACAAGCCTCCAACCTCTGGAATTAACAAGGTCCTCAGAAAACAAAGTATCCCTTTTCCTCACTCCTGCCTTTCCGATGGCATCACACAGGACACAAAACAGCAGTCACACCTGTTGGCCCAGGCTCACTGATTAAAGTCTACAACCAGGTCTCTCATTCAAACCCATGGACTGAGAGGTCTGCAGGTCAGTCCGGATCACCTAAATTAAAATAATAAAGACTTAGCTGGCCTGGCAGAGCCAGCCATCCCGCTGTAGGGAGGATCCAGGTACAGAAGGATGCCAAATTCTAGGCGGCTTAGCAATATTGTTCTCAAAATAAAAGATAAAAAAAATTTTAAATGTTTAAAAAGTGTTAAGATGCAGCTCAATGGTGGAGCACCTCTGAGTCTAGTCCCCAATACTGAAAAAAAAGTTAAAAAAAAAAAACAAACTTGACTACAATGACGGAGGAAACACTGGATTCATTTATCAGACCATCTTAGAATTTGAACACAAACCAAAACTTGGGGGGGGGCGGAGTTCAGTCGAACTTGCCATGCAGGTGTACAGAATATTTTTTAGTACATTTACAGAAAGAAGAA